TTACAATGAAGGAGGAAATTTTGGTGGAGGTAACTATGGTGGTGGAAACTGTAATGACTTTGGAAATTATAGTGGACAGCAGCAATCAAATTATGGACCCATGAAGGGGGGCAGTTTTGGTGGAAGAAGCTCAGGCAGTCCCTATGGTGGTGGCTATGGATCTGGAGGTGGAAGTGGTGGATATGGTAGCAGAAGGTTTTAAAACAAAACAGAAACGGCTACAGTTCTTAGCAGGAGAGAGAGCGAGGAGTTGTCAGGAAAGCCACAGGTTACTTTGAGACAGTCGTCCCAAATGCATTAGTGGAACTGTAAAAATCTGCCGCAGAAGGAACGATGATCCATAGTCAGAAAAGTTACTGCAGCTGAAACAGGAAACCCTTCCTGTTCAGGACGGTCAGAGCCACAGTTTGCAGAAAGTGCAGCTGTTGATTAATGCAATGTAGTGTCAATCAGATGTACATCCCTGAGGTCTTTATCTGTTGTAGCTTTGTCTTTTCATTACATCAGGTATATTGCCCTGTAAATTGTGGTAGTGGTACCAGGAATAAAAAAATTAAGGAATTTTAAACTTTTCAATATTTGTGTAGTTCAGTTTTTCTACATTTTAGTACAGAAACTTTAACAAAATGTGGTTTTGAAGGTGTTTCCTTGTGAGTTAACAAGTAAAGAAGATCATTGTTAATTACTATTTTGTATGGATTTTGCTAAAGTTAACTGTAAAGAAACACCTACTGACTTGCAATTTAAGGGGAATCTATTCTCCCCATTTCCAAAACCATGATGAATGGGCACTGACATGTGGAGAGAATAGATATTTGTATGTTTGCAATGTGTGTTTTAGATAATTAGAATTGGGTAATAAAAAATAGCATATTTGTGAATTTTAATAGCACTAAGATTACCTTCAAATGAAAAAGATCTCAAAAGTTGCTGTTTGGTTTTTGTGCATTTTCTTTCAAAACGTAATCATGATTTTAGTGTATTAGATTTATTGAGTCCTAGACATGTTAAGAACATCTCCATTCCACATTTACCTTGATCACATTGAAACTGCTGCCAATAGTTTGGGGTATAAAGTGTTTATGCTCCCTCTACTTACCAAGGGTGGTAGATGTATGCCATCTCCCAGTTTAACAGTCTTTTACTTTTCATTAAGAACCACCGAGTCTGCTGTGTCTGAGCAAACTGGTGGTACCTGGTTTGTTTCTGCTTTTAAATGTTAAGGTCTCAAAGCCCCGTTGGTCTAGTCACTTTTCTTGGTTAAGTTCCCCACACACACAACTTTTCAGAGCAAAGGAATAAAAGTCACTTGTTTGGAAAAAAAAAAAAAAGGAAGTAGGGCCAAATGGGAAGAACTTAGGTCACTGGAGGAAATCTCTTTAAGGAGATATTGAGATGTCATGTCCCTCAATCCATTCTCTCTCTCCTTCCATCTCTTCTCCTACCCCCCTCCTCCACCCTCTTGGTGTCTCTCTGTCTCTGCTTCCTGGTCACTGTCTAGGGAGTGTATTTCTTTTACACTTTCTCTCCACCATGATGTCCTTTCTCCTCAGGTTCAAAGAAATGGGTCTAAGTAACCATAACAGAAGCTTGGAAATTGTGAGCCAATAGAAATCATCCTTGTGAGTTGCTTAGCTCAGTCATTTTGTTACAGCAATGGGATGCTGACTAATGCAGATTTAAAAATGCAGATTTTTCAAAGTTACCCCAAACCCCAACATTACCAAATTTGATGAACCTTTATTGCCCAGTGTCATTTGATAACAACAGCTGATTTTGTTGGTCTTGTGACTTGTATTTTTTTGGTTTCCCTCCTTCTCTGTTTTTGTAAATCCGGCCTCTAAGTGATAAAGTCAGTGCTTTATTCTGTCCTTTCTGCAGGTGACTTCATCCAGCTTCTGGCTTTAATGCTTATGCCTTCCAAATGGATACCTTCATTCCAGAACCTCACTCCCAAGCTCTAGATAGATTCATTTCTATTTATCTCTCCACTTTGATGTCTGACACGTGGATCTCACCCGAAGGATTCTCTGTGTAGCCCTTAGCCTTGGGTGTCCTGGAATTTACTCTGTTGGCCAGCTTGGCCTTGAACTTGAAGAGATCTACTTGCCTCTTGCCTCCAGAGTGCTGAGATTGAAGGCGTGTGTCACTGCCACCACTATCCTGGTATAGTTTATCTCTTTCCTCAAGTATGTATGTTCCTCTCCCAGAATGCAACATCCTAGGAAATTTGCCACTATTCAGTTTAAGTTAACACTCCAAAGGTAATCTTGTATTTCCTCCTTTCCTTTATGTTCTCTATATGGCTGTCATGAATATGCAGCATACCAGTCCCCAGCTGCCTGGAGCACTGTTGAACATTCAGCCCAGCAGCTGTGCTCTGAAATCCTTCCCTGTGCTCATGCTGTAATATTTCCTCCAGACTGCCCCCCGCAACCCCCAGCAATCGAATAGAGCAGGGACACTAAGACACACTTCTTTGGAGGCATCCACTGGTGTGTTGGAACTTGTTTGCTCTCACAGCATAGCCCATCTTGGCTTGTAGCTTAATGTAGCTTGGGCTGACATCAAATCTGTGATTATCATTTTACCTCTGTCTCCCAAATCTTTGTTTCCATGTGTGAGTCACCACATCCAGTTTGACACTTTCTAAGAACCGCACCACAAGTGCGGCCTTTCCTAGCCTTCATTTCCTCACCTCCTTGGGATTAAACTTATATCCAGTTTAATCTCTCTCAGTTCCTCTTCAATGCCTTCCCATCATTCCCTCACAGGCATTCCTCAATAAGTCTCTTGCCTAGCTAATCTCATCCTGTTGTCAGATGCTTGCTCAAGAACCTGAACTAAAACATCCTGGGTGGTTCACTAGTAGACTTCATGTCCCTTCTGTTTTCTAAGTGTATTAAATGCATGGATCCACCTACTTCTCTCTGTAGCCATCTGAGGTCAGATAGACGCTATTATTCTTCTCTAGATTATTATAACAGTTAATTGCTTCACTATTATACCTTTCCTGTTTATTCTCATCCCCCTCCCTATTACTTCCCTGCTTCAGCCTGGGTAATGGTTTCCTGTTATGTTTAAACTAAGACAAGGGCCACAGATAAGTTTAAGATGTAATCCCACCACTCAGCAGGAGTAAATGAGCTCCAAGCTAGCCTGATTGACATAGCAAAACCCTCTTTCAAAAAAAATAAAAAGATTTTAAAAATTTGGTTTTTAACTAACTCTTCAACTTGTCTCTCCCACCTTTCCCTGTATCCCAATGCCTGGCCAGCTTCAGGTATTTTAGCTTTTTTTTTTTTCTTTCTGCCAATTTCCAAGTTCTTTTCTTCTGTAAAATATTATTATTGAGTCTCTTCAGAAAGTGAACACATTCTCGTTTTAGCTCTCTGTGTGAAGTCCCTCCCACTAGTGAATCTCCTCAAGCTTCATTCATTTTAACCTAACCTTGCCCTGCCTCTGCTCTGAGGTAGCCATTATCCTCTGTAACTATTTTGATTGGTTTCTCTTTTGCCCTGACCCGGCAAAGAGGAGGAAGAGGAGGTAGCAAATTATGGCCCATAGGCAGCCATTGGTTTTCTACAGTCCATGATCTAAGAATACATACTACATATTAGTGTTACAAAGAAACTCATTTTGAAGACTATTTCCTGACCCACACAATAAGAAACTTTAATTTCACTGCCCATATAAAGCTGAATGACAGTAATGCTCATTCATTTTCTTTCATTGTCTATGTCTACTTTCTCACCACATTAGGAGAGTTGATCAGCTGTGTGCTTAAAATGTAGAAAATTTTTTTCAGACAAGATTGGTAAGGCAAACCTGCATTTGTCTATGTGGGCATTTGGAGAGAGAACTACTGTTAGGGAAAGATTCACTTTGAATTGGCTGGTGTCATCCCGTGAGTTGGGACTCCACGGTTCCTGCCTGTGATGAACTGACACCTTTGAAACTCTGAGCCAAAATAAACCCTTACTCCCCTAAGTTGTTTCTGTCAGGTGTTTTGGTTACAGTGATTAAAAATACTGAAATGTAAACTATTGACACTGTCTTGACCAGTGCTCCATTCTCAGGGCCTGGTCTCTGTCCTATGAGAAATCACTGCAGCTGGAACAAACCTTCCCTCTCTCCTAAGACTTCATAGCCGAAGGGCAGGCAGCCTTACTTCTGGCCGGCTTCTTTCCTAAGACCTGTAAAGAACTTTAGAATCTAGTATGGAGTAGAGTGCCCGGAAAACAGGACTGTTTCATTCATCTTGAAATACCTAGCCCTGTTCCTTACACACGGTAGAGTACAGTTGGGAGATTAAAGAGTTTTGGGGGTTTATTAAGAAGAAATTAAATAGTTCTACAAGGGACTTAATACAGTGGCAAGGTGTGCAAGAATGTTGAATGGAGGTTTGTCCTCTCTCCTCGATTTTCCTTCGTGTAACAAGAATAAAACTACCACAGTAATTCTGATGTATGAAATTTCCAAAGATCTAATAAAAATCACCTTTTTCAGTTACATACTAAATTAAAATGTGCCGTGTGAAAAAGCTTTGTAAGATGCAAATGGACATATCCAAGTTCTATAACGTTAATGGAGTAGCTTTTCCTCTAGGACTGGAAAACAGCCTTTTCCAGGAGAGGTTGTCCAAGGCAGGGGGCCTAGACTCGCAGGACAGTTCGGGAATGTTCTTGGGGCGTGGCCACCGCCGTCCCGTGGGCGGGGCTATCCGGGGCGAGGCCTCGCTTCTTTTTGGCGCACTGCACGTCGGGACCGCACGGGGGCGCCGCGGGTTGCTCCGCTCTACCAGTCGCGGAGCATCCGAGTGGGCGACGGCTTACTTCCGCGTCCGGGCCCCGCGGCGTCAGGCGGCTGCGCCCAGGGCCTGGCGGCCGCAGGTCAGTAGGCGGTCGTCGCTCCGCCCGCCGGTGTGGAGGAATCGGGCTCCCGGTGGGTGGCGGGCCCCGAAGCCTTGGGGGACGTCCCGAGGAAGGCCCCGGCTGGCCTCTCTGATGACACGGGCGCCTTGGGCACAAGGCTTCGGTGTGGACCGAATTGGGGTCTGCTGGCCCAGGAAGACCCCGGCGGGGCCTGGTGATCTCCATCCTTCCCGGTTTTGTCCGGCTGTGGTGAAGGGGCGTGAGCCTCAAGAGCTGTATTTCTCAAAGTGGAGTCGGACTTTTGTGAATCAGACCCTGCTGTGGCCCGAGTCTGCCTTTTCAGCAGACATCCTCGACGGTTTGGTGCAGATGGTCGTGCGGGAACCCTGCCTTCACACAACAGAGGCCTCTGGGGGTGCATCGAGGAGTGCCATCACAGGGCCTGGCCTTGGGCTGCAGTCCCCAGATGGCAGCTGATAGTCAGTGAAGGGCCTAAGTCAGGAGCCCTGGAGGTGGAGCTTGTGTTAAAGGGATGGTCTGTGGGAGCATCCATGAGAACCTGATGCTGGTCCCTCAGGTTCATCTGGCTACTCTGGTAGTGACTGGCTCCACTACTTATTAACAGGCAAGTCTGTGTGGATACCGTACACATCAGGGATTTTTTCCCCCAGTCTTCTGTGTCAGTAGGGACAGTAATTTTTTGTATGATAAAGTTTTTTCTAAATTAGGTAATATTTGTTTAGAGTTTCTTCACAGTGTCTGGTACACAATAAGCATTCAGTAAATGGGGATTACCAAGAATGACACTGCCTTTGCTTTTATTGGGCTTATAGGCGAAAGAAAAGAAAAGAAAAGAAAAAAGTAGAGATTAAACACATGGTATAAAGTCTGTATATATATATATAAAACAGTTCGTTGTGCAAGGTTTCTAATTCTGCACCAAAAGATCTTGCAAGAGATGAAGCTTATCTAGGAACATGAGAAATAGAATTCTAGGAAGCAGGTAACTGAACAGCGTGAACCCATTAGGTCTCCTGCCTCATGATTGATTAGAGTGCTACTTCCAGGATTTTAAGGCAGCAAGAGGTCACACCAGTAAGTGGTTTTGGAGGCCTGGACCTTGTTGGGTTCCTAATGAATTTAGTCTGTTTTCCTTTCTCACATTCTAATTGTCTCCTCCCTTTTTATTGGCATATGGTGAGGTTAGTGTCTGTGGGGAAGGATTTTAGTTAACACTGAATTGATACGGATATGGTTGAGTTTGGCAGCCATTTTAAGACTTACTATGAAAGTATAGATACTGCAGATTTTCAATGGTGAGGAACGTAAACTTTGTTTTTCAGCCTGTTTCAGATTCTATAGAGAACAACAGTCTTCAGAATGGATGGAGAAACATTTAAACCTTCCCTGATGATTTGGCCGTCTTAGAGTGAAAGAGCTGGGTGACGACAGGGTGTCACCTGAGGGTCTAGGGCGATCTGTAGAAAGAATTCAGTTTTGGACATTTTATTTGGTTTTGTCTATATGGGTGTTTTGCCTGCCTGTGTTTCTGTGTGCTATGTACATGCAGTGCCCCTAGAGGGTAGAAGAAGGTATCAGATCACTGGAGTTACAGACTACATAAGTCATATGGTACTGAGAACTGAACCTGAGTCTTTTACAAAAATAGCCATGTGCTCTTAACCGCTTGACCATCTCTCTGGCCCTTGGTGTAAACAGAATTCTGATCTCAGTTAATTAATTATATATTACTTAGTTATATAGTTAACTACAACTTAATGATTCCAGTTACCCTTAGTTTCTGCTCTTTGTTTCTTAAATCTCCAAAGTTTATTTCAAGTTCCTCAATGTAGACCTTAAGGGAAATTTTGTATGATCATATATAGTTTGTCATTTACTGTATACTTAGTCTGTGCTGCATGCTTTTTGTGCGTTACCTTCATTACTTCTCTGGAGCTCTTTGGACCATTGCTCTCTCCATTTTATAGATAAGGAAACAAGAAAATGAATATAAACAATTTAACCAAGAACCCAGAGATTTTAAGTGATAAAACCTTTTGGCTCCTGTGTTACACTGATTTTATAGTCTAGATGGCTCCTTCAGACTTGTTAAAAACACAAGTGCCAAAAATTGTAAGCATGTCTTGCCTTTACTTTACTTGTGCCTGACCAGGCATTGTCTTGTGTAGTTCTTAAGAGTCATTTTATCAGTGGTGATTTATATTACTGTATATTTATAAAACCCCAGGCACAGATGTTCCAAACTCAGCATATCTCAGATGTCTTCCATGTCACATGAAATAGAGTGTATAATTGTATTGAAATATACAATTTAGCTTGTCCATTTGTTTTCAGCAAGGTCCTTGTCCTTTGTTTTTACAGAGGTCTGGGACTGTGATTGTTTCGAAGTTTCTGAACGCTTAAGGTAGAACTGTCGGTGTCCAAGGAAGTGATGGCAGGCCGTGAAGCAGAAGAAGTGCTAGACATCCTTCGGCTGAATGTGGGCGGCTGCATCTACACAGCCCGTCGGGAGTCTTTGTGCCGCTTTAAGGACTCTATGCTGGCATCTATGTTTAGTGGTCGTTTCCCTCTAAAAACAGATGAATCTGGTAAATGTCTAGAGTCTGGAGCCTGAGTGTGAATGATCAGTAAAGTGGGAGTCTATTCTAAATTCCGTGTGATTTTCTTAATTATGTTGGAATGTATTATGTTAGCCTACTAATTACTTAGCTCATTATGACTGTATGGAGATTCATTAAATACGTAGAGAAATTAAATACCAGTTTTAAAATTGGTGGTGCTGCTCCTAAAAGTTGATGAAGAAGTGAGATGGTATAAAGGCCAGCCACGGCCTAATTATGGGCATTAGCTGTATCTGGGCAGTAGTTGCTTTCATGTGACATTATGGATGATGGTGCTGAGGCTGATTCTGTATCGCTTCTCTCTGTGCTCTTCAAGGAAGACAAGTATTTCTCTGGAGAAGCAACTATCCTCATAGCTGGCAAAGCAGCCATTGTAGAGCCAGTGCTGTACTCAGTGCTTGGTCTGGCCATATAGTTTTGTGTGAGCTGATGTGTGTGGTTGAAAAATGGCAAGTTTGTGTTGTGGGTCATTCAAGAACTACATTGTGAAGGATAGGGCTCTGGGTGGTCTCTTTCCTTCAAGTACTGTGGGAGTCATTGAACCTGCTGGGAATCTTCATCAGCATAAGAGGATGCCAGACAGCTCGATATTTTTTGCCCCATGTGTGAGCCCCAGAACAATGGACTGTGTGTTACAGGGGAGGGATGGAGATACCCTGGACATCTGCTCCAGATTTTATCTCCTTAACACTGCTTTTCTAAATACATAGAGGGTGGGGAAAAAGCAGAGAGGGAGGGAGGGAGGATGGGTCCATTACTGTAAGAAAAATAAAAGGGGGGGGGGAATTGAACTCCTTAATTACCATTATGCCAAAGTTATTTCTTTTTAATTCTGCTAAGTTGTCTTAAGAAAAGTCTTTAATCATATGCAATGCTAGCGAAGCATTTCTTGTTTTAAGAATGGTATTAAACTATTTATTTTGGAGATTAGACCTCACAGAGCTGCTCGGAATGGCTTCGACACAGCAGTCCTCCTGCATCACCTCCTGAGTGCTGGGACCTGTGGCTGTGTGTTACCACTCCTCACAGCCTGCCTTTCTTCTTTAAAATGTAGATTCTCCCACTCCAAAGGGACTAACCCAATACTTTCAAATATAGTACATATCTAGCACTAGAAATCCCAGGCACGTGTTCTCACTGACATTCAAACAGTCGGCATAGGGACAAGCATACATTCTCTTTACTGTGGAGCCATACATGCCTGTTGTGGTCCAGTTGTGCTGAGGTTAGGGGTACATCTTTCCTACCAGAGGCCTGAGCTTTTGCAGTTGCCTATATCAGGATGATAGTTATGGCATCTGAAGAGCCAAGTGGGTCTTGGAATACACTTTACTTTGCAGGGCTGAGAATACAGAGGACCCCTAACTAACTCCTACAGTTTCTTTGTGTAAGTTAGAGAAGGAACCTGTTTATCCAGGAAGGTATGACTCTGTGGTAGGGTACATGGAGCAAAGTATGGGTTTGGTTTCAGCCTCATATGCCCCCTTAGCCTGGTTCCTGTGCATATAGTGTACCTGTACAGTCAGACATGGTGACAGGTCATGTACAGTTGTATTCAGAATTATTTACAGTGTTCTAGAAATACAGGTATTTCCTCCAAATAATTCAGTTTTTAGAACATTATCTACTTCCAAGTTGAGGGAGGGTCATACATCATATTTGCTGTGGCAGTGGAGCAGGGGAAGTTAAGCTTCATTTGACTGACTTGGACCCAGTTCCACACTAAATGTTAATTTTCTTGTGAGAAAAAAAACTTATTACTGTAAAGGGTATTGGACCTACTTTGACTTCTTGTTGATCATCATATGAATCTGCACAACTGTTTTGGAACTGTTTTCTAGGGGCGTGTATTATTGACCGTGATGGACATCTGTTCAAATACATTTTGGACTACCTCCATGGGGAGGTTCAGACCCCCTCGGATGAGCAGACTCGAGCCGCCCTACAGGAAGAGGCTGACTACTTTGGCATCCCTTACCCGTACAGCCTGTCTGACCACTTGGCCAATGAGATGGAAACATATTCTTTAAGGTCAAATATAGAACTTAAAAAGGTCTTGGCATTTTCTCAAGTTTTAAAATACATATTTATTATGCACAAAGCAATATGTTATTTTGCATAATTTGTGATGTCGCAGATACAAAGTGCAAGACAGTCTGTAATCAGTTTTGAGCATGATTCTTAATTACTCCTAGTCATTCTTAAAGGCCAAAATTAATTCTAGGCAAAAACTTTATTAAGTTTACATATCTCACTGAAAATGTAACGCTTTTTGAATCTTTTTAGTAGAACTATTTTTCTGAAGTTGTTTCTGTTTTGAGAAAAAGTCTTACTATATAGCTCTGGGTGGCCTGAACTGGCTATGTAGACTAGACTGGCCTTGAATACACAGCAATCCACCTGCCTTTGCCTCCTGAGTGCTGGGATTAAAGGCACACACCAATATCCTTGGCTTCTGAAGTTCTTTTTAAATTAGAGAAATACTGTTGTTAATGAGGGTGTAATGGGACTATTCACCAAGATGGCTTGTTTTATGTTTTATGCTAAGTAATAAACTCTTAGCTGATGTAGTGAATATGGCAGTTTGGCATGTTAAGATATGCTGAGTTCACTTGAAGATTAGTAAATATTTCTATTTTATATCATACTTTAAAGATCTTTACATGACTTGAAAAACTTTGTTATTTATGCCTTTTTAAATGGGTATTGTATTTGTTGCGGTTTAGCACATAGGGAAATTATTTCTTTAGGCAGCTCTTGATCCTGAAAATTGATATGAACGGGTTAGAGCTTTAGAATTGGATGTCAGTTCAGGAAGGAAACTGATGGATGATTGGTTATTAGGAGTGCAGCAGAAAAATCTCTTTTAGGGATTTGCATGAGTGTATGGATTCTACTACATTTAATTGCCAAGTGATAGTCTTGATAATGCTACTTACCAAACAGCAGAATAGGGCTGAAAGTCTTGCTGAGAGACTAGAGAGGTTAGCATCATCTTCTGGTCCTAACTCTTAGGCTTTGTCTCCTGGTGTATATTTTTAAAAAGGCAAAGTATACCAGCATTTATTCCAACAACCAGCACCTGTTATTTCATAAATAATGTTTATTTTGTAAATGCCACATCCTGTGGCATATATTGCCTTGTGAAGGGACTCTGTGGAGCACCAAGATCTGGAACCTAGTTCTTGCCCTAGGACAGTTTATAGTTTAATTTAGAATTCTGATAGTGTACACATAAGATCAATAGAGGAGTTATTTAGCGCCAGACATGTGAGGACCCTGGTTTTGTTACTGAGTAGGTAAGCAGCAGGTGTCTTCTTCATGTTTCCTGCTCTCCCAGACACTAAAGCTCTGTCAGTGGACAAAGCAAAGATGCTTGTGCTGAAGACACTTTGAACAGCAGTGCCATTTCTCTCAGGGAAGGTCCGTGCTACCATCCTGGGAGGAACCCCTTGTTCTGTGCTCCTTGTGCTGGCACAGCCGGGCTTAATACATGGTTTGCTGATAGCTCAGTGTCTGTGTGCTGCATTAGATATGAACGCAGAGTATTTGGACCGTCTGTCATCTTCACTCTCACATCTGCAGGACCCGAGGGTGCTCAGCAGGTAGTGGGTATTTAGTATGTGAGGGGATGACTTAGTGTGTAAATGCCAGAGGAGTTCAGACACTGCGCTGGACCTCATCATAGCAACCTTGCGGTATAGAAGAACAAGTCCATTTGACTAATTCACTGTTGGAATTTGGACCAGCTGTGGGCCACCTAGTGAAAAGAAAAAAATGGTGGTTAAGTGGGGCGTGTGAGAAAATACTGAGGGGAGAGAAACACTAACCTATAGTTACCGTATGAAGATTATAAAATTAAAAGTGAAGGTGGTAAGCCAGAAGAGACACAAGAGCAGTTCTGTTTGGAAAAGTAGTCTCTCTAAATAAAGAGCTGTGGAGGGGTTTTTGTTGTTGCTTTGATTTTTTTTTTTTTTTAGTAAAGAAAAAAAAACCTCCCTCCAATTAATTTATTACATTTATGTTTTTTAGACTAAGCTAAAATTCATGACATTTTTATTTCTCTTTGTGCCCAGCTCATATTTTAGCTTTATATGAAAGTAATCTAGTTCATATACCTTTTATTTCATAATTAAATCTAAGTTTATATATATGTTTGCTTTAGGCTTTAACAGACTTCTGTGATTCCTACGGCTTAGTCTGCAATAAACCAACAGTTTGGGTCCTCCACTATCTTAACACATCTGGGGCAAGCTGCGAGAGCAGAATTCTTGGTGTCTATGCTACAAAGACTGATGGGACAGATGCCATTGACAAGCAGCTGGGAGGAAGGATTCATAGTAAAAGCATTTTCAAAAGGTATGTTCAAAATTAAATGTGAGAAAGTACAAAAGAGAGGCTTGGTGTCTTTTAACAGTTTTAAGAATTTTAATTGAATGAAATACTGTGCTCAACTACAAGAGGCCGTGGGCATGGCCCAGTGGACGGAGCCCTCAGAGCTGTGGGATGGCTGCTTCAGGCTGGGTGAGATTTAAGACCTTTGCACAGAGATGTCAGTCCTGAGTCTTCAGTGGTTCTCAGTGCACTGGGCCTCAAGTCCCATACTAGGCCTTTATAGAGCTAAGAAAAAGAAGATCCACTGGCCTAATATCTCCCTTGGACCACAGTGTGGGGCAAATGCACTAGCCTAGAGTCACCAGGCCCATCGAGTGGCCTGGGAGGCCATTCTGTGCCTTGTTCCTGGCCTCTCAGATTTAGGCCTCTATTATGTGGGTATGTTAAGTTCTTAGAGGTTGTCCTCTTATGGTATCCATGTGAACATTCTTGCACTGCTCAAGTCATTTAACACAGTTTCTATCTTCTATATATTCTGTGGGAGATTGATGTTGATCACACACTAATCACTAATCTATACCCCCATATAAGCTTGCTTTTCAGGTGACTGGGATTATTGTTGTTTCTGAAATATTTATAGGTAATAATCTATATAAGACATCCAAGCACTTGGCATGATGCTAGGAAAATGTCATCAAAGTTGGATCTTTTCTAACTAGAATTTGCTGGTTTTATTTTGTTAGTATTTGTTTGTTTTTTTGAGACAAATTCTCACTATATAGCTTTGGGTGGCCTGGAACTCAAATCTGCCAGTCTTTTCCTCCCACATGCTGGAAAAAAGGCATGTGTCATTATGCCCAGTTGTATATAAATGCTTTCTGAAATGTTTTAAATATATATTGATGTATTTCCATATTGTTCAATTGACAAATGCTACCATTAAAAGGAGATGAAGTTCATAGTAGAGTCTGATGTGATTTATGAGTACACACCTATGCTTAGAGCCACAGAGGAACAACTGGTGCTGAGACACGTCTCCCCTTGATTATCAAGTATTTATTGAGTGTGTGTTAGCTGGATATACACTGACACATTCATCCATAAGTAGTAGATTTTCATTACATTTTTGCAATGTTTCTAGAGAGGCGGGGAATAATGTTCAGTACATTTGGAGCTATTACTCAGTAGCCGAGTTGAAGAAAATGATGGATGCCTTTGATGCTTGGGAAGGAAAAGGTATGGTGTAAATGTTTCATTTCATGGACACGTGGACTTTTCTCTTTCTCTCTTTTTTTTTCTTTTAGTTTTTGAGACAAGGTTTTCCACTGTAGCTCAGGCTGGCCTGGAGCTTACTGTATAGCCTTGTGTAGCTAGCCTGGGACTTGGGACAATCCTCCTGCTTCTGCCTCTCAAGTGCTGGGATTATAGGCTTGCCTTTCCATGCATTGAATCCCATTCCTCTTTTCCATAGTAACACAAAGTATCTCTGCATCCTTTGTTTGTCCCTCCCTTTCTTCTGCCCCCCTCTCTTCCTAGAAGTATACTTTTCAGTGTGTCACTTGTCTGTCACCGTAAGGTGATATTGAAGCTTTCAAAACTTGACACCCATGCATAAGTTGCTATGTATTGTTATTTACTCATAATTCAGTGTCTTCAAGTATGGTTCTTAGCTATGTATACTCAGTAAGAGTTTATTTGTGTAACTGGCAGTGTTTTAAGCAGTGTACTTCTGCACTGAGAAGGTGTAAGAGAAGGAGACTGGTGAGATGGCTTAGCAGGTAAAGGTGCTTTCCCCATGCCAGGTGACCCAAGGCTAATCCCTGAATCCACATGGTGGAAGAAGAGAACTGACTTTTGCACCTTGTCCTCTGACCCTCAGCATAGACTGTGCCATGTCTGTGCCCACAAGCATATACACAGAAAAAAATAAGTGCTGCCGTGGAAAACCTTGTCTCAAAACACTTATTTTATTCTCTGTGTATGTTTGTGGGCACAGATATGGCCCAAATGAAAAAAGAAAGGCTAGAATTGGCTAGACATGGTGACTTACTCCTGTACTCTCAGCACTTAGGAGACTGACAGAGTTGAAGGCTAGCCTGGGCTATATAGTGAGTTTTATAGCAACCTGGTTGAGATAGCTGGACTCTGAAAACAAACAAAACATATTGGAATGAGAATATACTAATGCGTCCTGAATTATCATTCCTGGGATTTGGACTAGGAATGATTTTTGTTTTCTTTCTGTTTTGGAGGTTGGTTCTGGGGATCAAGTTTGCAAAGCAAGCACTCTACCAACTGAGCTGTGTCTCCAGCCCTTGGTTTTTATCTACTTTTCTAGATTTTCCAGGTTATGTACAATGAATGTGAATTATTTATAGGTTGGAAAGAAAAGGTTGTAGTTGAGTGTGCTAACCGCAGCCTATGATCCCAGCACTGGGAGACAAACGTAGGAGGGGTGCCAGCTCCCGGCCAGCTGGCTGCACTGTGGAGCAGTCAGCTGTTTCAGCACCCAAAAGACACACACACACACACACACACACACACACACATTTATCAATATATCATTGTGGGTAAATCATGATATAGCACATTAAAGAAACATTAGGTACAAGTGTGAATATTCTGTGGTTCATGTCAATGACATTCTGGAGAAGACAAAACTAGGCTTATAAGGGAAGCCAGTGGCTGGGAAGTGGTATGAGGAAACATTTAGGCACGACCGATGAGTGACTGTTCATTCGTCAAAATTCATTGAACTGTATCTCTTAAAAAATAAGTTTTATGTAAATTTTATCATAAATTTAACCTCAAAAATCAGGCAAACTTAATGAACTAGGTTTAGGAATACTTTTATAATAGAATATACTTAGGTTTGGGAATAGCAGTCAAATAGTTCCAGAGTGTTGGCCTTAATGAGAGTCACTGAGTTTTTGAGTATTGGATATATGCTGTATATAAATTTTATATGCCAGTTTACTAAGGTGGTCATGTTTTCCAGAATTTTTTTTTTTTTTTAAAGATTTATTTATTTATTATATATGAATGCATTGTAGCTGTCTTCAGACATACCAGAAGAGGGCATCAGATCTCATTACAGGTGGTTGTGAGCCACCATGTGGTTGCTGGGATTTGAACTCAGGACCTCTGGAAGTGCAGTCAGTGCTCTTAACCACTGAGCCATCTCTCCAGCCCGTTTTCCAGAATTTTAATGGTTAAAAAAGATACTGATCTCATTGTAGATACTTGACTGTAAAGAACTGACCAATTTTTATTGAAGATTATTCTTTTAGTATTTTTGTATGTCTGTGTCTAATTTTATGTGTTTTTGATTGGAGTGAAGTCAGATGATGTAGAAGGAACTGGTTTAAAATGTGCATGTATCAGTGGCCTTCGTTGCATATGCCCTGTTTAGCAAACAACAGCTATCTAGTTCCAAAACATTTTCACAGTCTCTCCTTCATGTTCTCTTGCACTGTCTTCCTTGTGTTTCAGTGCCTCTCTGTCCTGAATATTTCATATAAATGGGATTGTAAAATATGTGGCCTTCTATGTTCTAATTCTTTCACTAGTATAATGCCTTCAAGGCTCATAAGGATACATTGTTAAACTTTGAATGAGGGTGTATCAGATTTAAAATATAGAATGAATTTTGCTAAAATCTTGGCTTGATTATTAGATCAGATTATTCTTGTTTTAAAGTCTTTTTTTTTTAAAGCATTTTTATTTGTGTGTGCCCATATGTATGCATGCACTTGTAGTTCCCAAAATGGGTTGTCAGATCCTCTGGAGCTAGAGATCCAGGCATTTGTGAGCTGCCTGACATGGGTGTTGGGAACTTGCTATAGTTCCCTTAATATCAGCAAGTGCTGTTAACTATTGAACCACATCTGGTGACAGTGGTTTGTAGGGTGGTTCACAGGTACACCCAATTTGATGGTCACAGTAGCCCAATGCAGCAGACAGAGCACTGGTGTAACCCCTACTGTAAACATCCTTTACACTTTTACTAATACTGCAACTGTCTGTAAAACTGTCTGTTAGGTCAGAGTACCTAACCTGCTCTAAGCATTTCATGTTTATTAATGTATTTAATGATCACGACACTCTTGCAGGGTACATACTGTGATGATTAACATTTCACTGAGGAAATGAAACATTAGGATAAGAGGGTAACTTTTCCAAGGTCACATCAGTGAGTGACAGAGTGAGATTCAGGTACAGGGTCAGAGCCTGTGCGTTTAAACAACATACATTCCGTTATTTGAGCATACCCTGGTTCAAAGCCAGCTCTTCTTGGACCTAGCTCATGAGCTGTCACTCTCTGCTGTCCTGGAGCTACTAGAAAGCACTTCCTGTTCTGTTGTACACACCTCTGTCCATCACCTGAGAGGAACAAGCTACAGATAGGTGGCCAGTCTTAGATGATGGAGTACTTACCTATGGCTCTCTCAGTTCTCTTCTTTTCTTCAAGGAGTAAGCTACTGGCGTGTGCCTCATGAGCTGATAGAGTGCTGGACTTTGGAAGAACGGCCTTTACATGGAAGCCTGCGTCATATGGCCCCAATTCGAAAGAGGTTAGTTATGATTACATCTTGTTTTAAAATCTTGTGTTGATATTTTTTTGTCACCATCATAAAGGGGAAATGAATACTCTTGGCTTTACTAAGATTGTTTAATCTCCTACATGAATATTCTACATTAACATAAAAATATTGATCTCATTAAATAAAAAGATTCTAGAACTATGAAAAAGTAGTGTGTTCTGCTCTCCTGGGCTGTGAGGTATGTCTTCACTAGGAGAGTGCTGCTGTAGGAGTACTGGTGGACGCTGTGGACGCTGTGGGACTCAGGTTCTCCCACAGAAGTGGAGCTCCAGGCTTTGTAGGCAGTACTTAAAAAACGTACTTAGGCTTACTACTCGACATTTCCTGGGCCTAGTCTGACATTGTTTTTTCTTTTCTATTATCACTAGTAGCATCCTTATCTGTGGTGTTTTCTTGAGTTCCATGAAGTTACTAGCATTATATTCACTCTTTGGCTGTGTCTATAGATGTGTTTTACGTGCTGTAAGATTGTATTTTTTTTAAAGGTTTATTTTTTATTTATATGAGTACACTGTAGCTGTCTTCAGACACACCAGAAGAGGGTATCAGATCCCATTACAGATGATTGTGAGCCACCATGTGGTTGCTGGGAATTGAACTCAGGACCTATGGAAGAGCAGTCAGTGCTCTTAACCGCTGAGCCATCTTTCCAGCCCTTGTATTTCTTTTTTAATGTCTCAGTTTTATCCACAGGACAGATGTTTTGTTTCTTAATCACTTGTTATGGAATTTGATTATAACCGCAACTGCTTTCCTACCTTTGCTCTTTGGATTGTTCAAAGAAATAAAGTTGATTCAGTTTTTAGTAAAGATCGTTTTGTAGAACATTTTATTTCTTAAAAGGCATTAATTGTGTTATTAATTTATTATTGTGTATTATTGTATTATTAATTTATTTTGTCATTTGGACCACCAGAAAATGCTGAGTCTAGAAGAGTGGTTCTCAGCTGGGAAGGATTTTTTTAAAGAACTCCCTTTTCTGAGATATTTAACAGTGTCTGGAACTTTCGGCCTGTGCACTACAGGGGCGGAGATGCTGCTGGTCTTGTAGGTAGAAGCCAGGGACACTGGCACTTACCCTGCTGGCAGCTTCTCTCCAAAGAATTATTCTACTGAAATGGTGAATGGACCAAAGTAGAGAGACCTTGGTGTGGAGTCCAGTGAAGACAGAGACAGGAAACAGAGCAGAAGGAATGGCTGATGGTGACCTCCTCCTTGTCAGTGATCTTTTCTCTGGAATTTTGGGAAGCAGGATTTTGATGCATAGACAAGATAATGAAAGTGATGTGTAATTATGATCAGTAATGTTTTAAAGCTGTGTATATTATGTTAGATTATTTGCTATGTGTGGAAGATTTTATGAAGCTAGACTATGATTCTGTTTCCAAGGACAAGTGTTCTCTGTGCTACACTGCTTCCAGCAGCCAGGACTGTGGAAAGGAAGTGAGACTCCCTGCTCGGGAGGAACCAGGTGGAAAACAGGGCGGAGCAGGCAGGACTTTCACAGTTTTAAGGTCAATTTTGGCAGGGTTTTTTCCTTTAGGCTGTTTATAATGAATGGTCAACTCAGTTCAGAGTAATTGGTTCAATACTTTTCAGATTTAAAAATACCTATCTTTAGCATGGGCTTGACTGTTAATAGCTGTCTCTCCTAAAAGTGTCTCACAGCAGGCAGATTCTACTGGCTGTCAGGATAACAGTGACTGGCAAATACAGCTGCAGCAGTTAAATAGGCACATTGACTTTCCTGAGGCTTGCAGCCTTTCTCTTTGTCAGCATGGGTTTTAAAGCTCAAGTTGGAGAGTAACATTTATTTAGCTGTGAACTCCCTTTCTTCGGTTCTTGGAAAGAACACTGAATATTCTTGATTATCCTGTGCATCACTCAGAGCTCTTGGGAGCAGAGTGATATGTAGTCTAATTCTTACTCAGCACTCCAGGCTCTAATTTGTTGACTTATATGTGGTTTTAAGATACAGTTTATAAAGCAGCAGAAACAGTATTTAGTAAACTTGCTACTTTGCAGTTGACTATGGTGGGGAATGAGGCGAGCTGCTATTTATAATGCTATTCATAAACATTGTCTCTTTTTGTTAAGCCTGAATGTGGACTTCGGAGACTATTTTTTTGGGTACCAAAAGTATAAGTACTGAAAAGAATGCTTCTGTATTTTCAGGCGGCTGATAGCCCTCAGGGAAGAGGATGAAAGTGTGAACTGTAAGACTGGTCCTAAGCCAGTCAGATTTTTGGGCCCTTCTACAAGTACCCAAATTAAAGTCAAGAACTCTGCTTCAGTGAGGGTGTCACCTTCCAATGCTGTCCAGATCTTCTCTCAGGCTACGGCAAACCGCTCTCAAAGAGGCAGCTGTGGAAAGGCAACCCAGTACTCTGTGGCCACAGGGACATCTGGACATGCTCCTGCTTCCCCTGATGGCCAGAGTGCTGAAAACCAAGCCACACAGCCCCCTCCAGCCAAGGTGCTCCTCTCTGACAAGAAGTCTCCACCCCATCGAGTGATCAAGCTGAGGAGGACTCCACTGTGTGGGGGACCTTCCCTGCCAACTCCCTCAGCAGGGAGCCAGGCCAGCTTCACCCAGCTGCCCTCTCCAGAAGCTTCCAGCACTTTGGGTGTGCAGACTGAGAACAGGAAAGACCAGCCTGATGGATAAAGTGGGCTTGAAACTGCCTGTTTGTCCCAAAGGTTCCAGCATGCTGATTCAAACAGTGTTGTTGAAAGGGAAGATCTAAACGTGGATGTTTAAGATTATTACAGGAAAAGTGAATGTTGTGACATGGGAGTAGAGGAGGGAGACTTTACTGTTAGGGTTATTATTTACTTTGCATTTTCCTAAGGTTGTCTATGTGCAGTTTGAATTCTGGTTTTTAATTTTAAGATTTATTTAAATGGTTAACTGACATCAAGGCAACCAAGCAGTAAGAAGTCTCCCGTTTTTGCAGTAGTCTTCAGTGTTAGTTTTACAGTCTAATGGTAGGAGTGAGGTCTGGGCCTAGGTTTCTGTCAGATGGAGAGGGGTACCTGTGCTGGCCACACTGTATAGCGGGCAGGAGAAGTCTCAACAGGGAGCATGAATCCACTAGCTGCCTGTAGTTGCTTATTTTCCAAAGACAACGTGAAAAGAAGTGATGGGGGAAGGGAAAGAATGTAGTTAAAGCTCAGATGGTGCTCTCACTTGATCGGGCCATTTTGTTTTCTAGATTGGCTCTTGACTGTGTTCTGTTAGCAGCTGTGTCTTTTTGTGCACCACGGGGAAATGCATGCGGGAGGAGCTGTGGAACGGGTTTGGAACGGTTAAAATACGGTAGTTGACTTTGGTGAGGTTTTGAAAAAGAGAAGTTAAACAAGTTTAACTTTTTAACTCAAGTTAGTTTGTTCTAGAAGTGACCATTGAAGAGTCCTTCTGGTTATACACTATGCTTCATGCATACAATTTCCATATAACTTGAATTTAGTATTTTTAAACAAAATCTTTTGATTAATCTATTTTTTCATGACCATTGAGTTATGTGTGCTTTCTCTTACATATTATGTTTGGTAATTACATTGTACATTTCTACTTCCCATGAGCCCTGTGCTTCAGTGTTTCTAGAAGCAGGTTCATAGAGCAGGGTGTTCCTTACTCAGATGCTGGGCATGGCACTGCGTCACTTTGAAAAGTGAGGCAAGTATACTCATGATGGTTCTTTTTAAATAAATAAAACATTTCCACAAAAACGTGATTTTTCTGTGAAAGTCTTATTGAAACTTTGAGCCCTGAAATAGTTTGAGAGCTTACTAATTTATGTAGGGTTTTTATTTGTTTCCAAAATTACTTTCTTGTCTTGCTAATTCATGGAATGATAAAAACAACTTTGAATAAATATCTTTATTCAAAGATATCTGCTGGTATCTTTCTAAGAAGGTGGTTTAACTGAGCAGAAAGGTTTTTAATTGAAGACCCACAATGACATCCTGGAATATATAAACCGTTTAGTCACTTTCAGGACAGTGCTACTGTAGAGAACTCAAGCAGCCTGAAAATTAAAAACAAGGCAATGCTTGGGCCTACCAAATTGGACATTATATGTATTACTTGGTCTAGGATATTTTAAATTGCTAAACCATATAAGAAAAATTTACCGATACACATAAAATGCATGTTTGTACGTGATGAGCAGAAAAGAAAACTTTTGACACTCACAATGGGTGATTCTATCACTAGCCTCCTTTTCGTTACATGAAGTAACGTAGAGGGACTCTCTGCATACAACACTGAGCCTTTGTAAGAACACATTTGGACGGAGTGCTGAAGAATGCGTTCAAGAGACAGGAGAGATGGCACAGCGAGTCAAGACGCTTGCCACCGCCAAGCCTGAGGACCGTCCCAAAACTCATGGTGGAAGGAGAAAGCCAACATCTACAAGTTGTTCTCTGACTTCCTCAGCGGCCACCATGTGGGTGCCCTCACATGCTATTTGAAAAGTAAATGTAAGAATGCATCTGGAGCTAGTCTTGGGTGCAGGTCTGGGGTAGGTGGTAGATGTTTGTGGATATGAGAAGTTAGGGCCAAGTTCAGAATGCTCAGGTGTCAGTGTGATGCTTGAATTTAGTTCCCTGGGTATTGTTTTTGCCTTTTGGGAAAAAATGTTTAAGAAATTTGCATTTTTAAAAAAACACTCTTATCTGAGACTCTACAACAAAAATGTGTAACTCACCAGAAGTCATGTGTTTCCTGAATAGAAAGGGGGGGGGGAGCAAAATGGGAAGCTGTACAAATAGTTTGAAAAGCAGTGCCAGTGTCTGGGTCAGGAGATAGTCATTTTACATTGAGAATATTTGGGAATTGGTCATCAGAAGAAAAATGTGCCTGTCACCTCAAGGCATGCAAGTGGCCAAGCCCTGTCCCTGAGGACCTCCAACTGCCAGGCTCTGGACCCAGCCCCTCCAGATACAGGCAGCCAAACTCCACCCTACAGAGTAAAAAGCCCAGTCTTAAGACTTGAAAACCCACCAATCCCCAACCTGGAAATCTCTACCTTGGAAAGTTCTGCTCCACAAGAAACTATATAAATCCTGTCTAATGCTCAGTTTTTTGCTGCTTTTCACCTGAGGCAGAGGCAACCACCCTCCTGGAATTTTCCTTCTCTAGAAATCTGTTGTGTGATGTTTGTTGTGGGGGTTGACTTTGCAGTATTTCTTGGCTCCTGGCTGCCAGGATACCTTCTCTCAGCTGTAGTGTTTCTACTCGGGAGGCCTTTCTCCTCAGAGCTGTAACACACAGGTACTCTTTGTTGAGAACTAATCTGTCATAGTCACATCATGTTAGTTGTGGAATGGAGAGTTGAAGACTGGTAGAGGGGACCTACTAAGAGATTTATTCTGGTTGTATTGCCATATATTCTAGTATTTCCACATCTTTTATTTACTACTTTTTAGTTTTAAAGCAGCATCATAAGGAGGTCTTTTCTGGTTCTTAAAGATTAAGACAATGAGGTTGAACAAAGCTAATACTATGCAATGATGCTCACGTTCTGTCATCTGAGCCCGTCGTCTGACTGCTGCACAATGACAGACAGACAATGGCAGACAGAGAGCAAGCTAGAGGGAAGAAGTAGCTGTAAAGCTTGGAATTCGCTTAAGAGTGGAAAGCTTTTTAGTAAGACTGCTCTAACCATTGCATTGTGGTTTGTCTCCTGAGACCACGGGGGCCTGCAGTACATTTCCATGCCGCTGGAGGCAGCCCTTAGCCATGGATTAGAACATTTATGATCTTCAGAGGTGCAGGAGCTGATGGTTTCTGACCCTGCAGGGTTTCTGCTATCTGGAGAATAAAGACTGTCTGAAGAATCAGTTGCCATTAGTAATAATCACTGTCCCGGTGAGAGCACTTGTCAAGCCAGTCAGTCACAGTAATTCAGAGATACATCTCTAAGTGCTGGGTTGGGCATGCAGGTGCTTTCGAACCTTTGAGAGGAAATAAGCAATGGAACCAGATGTCCTACGGAAACCACATCATCTTTGCCTGTGTCCTCTCCACCATTCATCCTGTATCCTCATTAGCAAGTACAAACATTGACGTTTATCCACTCGACCTGTGTTTGTGGTTAAATGTGGTACAATTATCCATTTATGCTTTTATTTCTAAAGAAGGGATTGGCTTGCAAATGTACTTGCCATTATGTGAGAAGTTGTTCATAGGAAACTTTGATGTAGCATTTTGAATATGTGGGAAGGCCTGTGATAGTAAGCTGTTCCATAAAAGGATGCCAACGTTATGAATGAGGTTGTCTTCTGAAGGCAGCGTTGCTCCTTCAGCGCATTTGTACAGGCTTGTACGCACTTGTGAGTGTATGAGGGGAGGAGCTTCTCCTCTAACAAACGATGTACATATGTGCACTGTAAGTTCACTAAGACCTTTTGAATTATGCTGAATACCTTTCCCCTCCCCTTCTGTGGGAACTATCCCTTGAAAACTGTCAACAAGTTGCCATTTCCCTAGTCTGCAGATGAGTGACGCTCTGTTGAGGCTACATTAGTGCCCAGGACTTCCAGTCTGTAGTACAGCCAAGAAAAGAAACATCATGAATAGCTATCGGGAAAAATTGGTTTCCTGCTGTTTCCAGAATTACATACTCACAGAAGTTTCTTGGTGGTGCAGCCTCGAAGGAGCCATTTTCACGTACATTCCTGTCAGCCTCATGAAATACACATGGTTTACATTGTTATGGAGAAGCTAATTTTCTTTTTTCGTATGTGTGTTGCCATAGATGGCCCATACACATTTCATATTTGCTAGCTAGATGGTTTCTGATGTTGGCTGTAGCTAAGACAAATAGAATTTTACAGAAACTGCCAGTCAAGGTTCTGCCCTACTTGTTTATTTAGCAGAGTTTCATTTTTATAAGATTCGTTTTTAGACTTTATGCTTGCTTCTTCCAACCTAAAGCCTTCATTATTTTAGTAAAATTCTGTTCAGCTCCAGCTATGAATTTGGGGGGTGGTTGAGCTTAGAAAAGAAACTTGTTTTAAAAGCAAAGGGCTTATGGGAAGGGGGTGGGGGTGGGAGTGGGGAAGATACTTGCTCAAATTGGAAAAAGGCAAAAATCGCTTTTTTCTGTCAAGGTTTCTTAAAACTTGTGACATTTCTAGCTCAATTCCAGATCTTTCAGTAACTCATCACCCAATTTCTTCACTTGCAAGACTTGGGAACTCAGTTTGAGTGTCGACAACACAGACAGCTTAAGGACTTCAGAAACCAGTTTAGACCAGGGTTGTTGGTCAGCACGGGAGCCAGTTGGAACCAGTAGAGAATGTATTCAACTGGAGTCAAGGCACCCTGTGGTCTCCTGTCTGCTGGATGGTCTCCTGTCTGTCTGCTGGGTGGTCTCCTCTCTGTCTGCTGGGTGGTCTCCTGTCTGTCTGCTGGGTGGTCTCCTGT